TCTCCAGCTCCTCCATGGCTCCTTTCTTCTTCTTGAGTTTCTTCACCAGTGAGTCCACAGCCTTCTCCGCCCATTTCTCCTCCTCATCCCCCTGCTTCCAGCCTAGCAGGCGCTTCACCGCGGGGCTGGTGAAGGAGAACAGGGACGTGATGGAGGCTGAGGAGTTCATGGTGAGATAGGTGAAGGGATTCAAAGTGGATAAGGGTTCACTTGGGGACGCTGCAGTATAAATGAGGATATGCCTGGAGAAGAGAGGTAGTAAGGCTATGTAAACAGTGGCTGGTATCCGCTGAGTTGAGCAGTGCAGTTGGAGCGCAGCCAGAGGACAGGGCTAAATCCCCTCCGTGTGCAGTCACAGAGGGGACAGGGGTGAGAGAGTTAAAAGGGGGCTAAGAGGGCTCTTGATATGGGGCGTCCCACAGCCAAGGTTAGTCTTCACACAGTCAGAAGTCCAGATCCAATTTCAACCATCTGCCAAGAGAAAAGACTATGTCTGAGCAGAGACAAATACACATTGGTAACAGTGATGAAGTCAGTAAGATAAAATAAAAATAATAATAATAATTACAGCAGGTTACAGCATAAGGTATATTTATGAAAGCCCCCAAAAAATCCACTGTACTGCTTCTTCACTGCCTAAACAAATTAAAGAATGTTAAGGAAAGGACTTTGACAATTGCTGAACTTTAACAAGGTTATGTAGATTAAAATGCTATCTTCATCTGTACTTGAATTATATATAAAAAGTTCATGAAGGCTGGAAAACTTATTTGAACTGTTTCCCTCCAACCAAAATGTGTCTATAAGCACTTATTGATTGTCATTTGTTTTCTCTATGATAGTCTAATGGTTGTTTAATAGCTCAGCTATCAGCAGTCATTGTTTTTAATGAACAAAAATTCTGTTTAATACAAAACTCATTAAGATTCACATGTATCTTAGGAAACAAGTCTTATTGTAGCCATATTGTGGTTCAGATTATTTACCTTATAATTAGCTATAAATTATATATTATTACTTTCATTTACCACATTGCCTAACTATGGATCCTCTCCCTGCAACTGTATCCTAATTGAAGACTTGATAACTAAATAGTTTTTATGACACAAATCATCAGCATTTTATCTGCTGAGTAATTAGTTGTTATTTTAAGATAGCAACACTTTTACAACAATTACCATTTAAGTTATTTCTCATTACCCATTTTTTGGTCTTGAAATTGTCTCTAGACTATGTGACCTCAAATGGTCAGCTCTGAACGTGAACCAAAATAAATCAGGATGACGATGACAATAAAGCTAATAAAGGTGTACTTATCAAAAGATTGGCATAGGTTTATTGCATTACATTGCTATTACGCTGCATGTGCATGAGCCACATCTCCACAGGGCTTTCAGACAGAGCAGAGGGGCCAGATGATTTCTAGATTCACCAACAATGAGGAATGTCCTCTCTGGCCTCTGTTTCTATGATCATGCCACTGACGCCCAGGAGCCAAACTGTCTGGCCAGCACACATCACAGGATAGGACAGGAGGGAGGGCAGGGAGAGAGAGAAGGAGAGGGAAAGAGAAAGAAAGAAAGAGAGACAGAGGGAGGGAGAAGGAGAGAGAGCGAGAGGCAGAGGGGAGAAGGAGAGAGAGACAGAGATGAGAAAGGGAAAGAGAAGAGGAGAGAGAGTAGAAAGAGAGGGCAGCAGAAAAGGAGAGACTGGAGAAGACAGAAAGGGTGGGGGGGTCAATAGAGACAAAGGGGGGAGAGGTAGAGAGAAAGGAAGACTGAGGGGCATGGGTGAGAAAGAAAGACAGATGAATGAATTAAGCAAATCCTGCATTTGTTTTATACTGTTATGCCTTATTTAACACTGATTTCAAACAGCATCAAATGGTAGAAAGGTACGTAAAATGGTGACCTGGCTCAAGTTTTCTTAATTTCAGTCCTGGTTTGTTTTAAGGCACCACACACACAGAAAATACTTCAAGAACAATAATGTTCCTATGATAATATTTTTGTTGGCTAGAGTTCAGACACAGTCATGTTATCATACGTCATTTTCTTTGTGACAAGAAGCCCTGGACTTCTGTGGTAGATAAGAGTCAGAGCACTTAGTGGGCTATTGCGTTAAAGATGATTATTCAGTATGATTATTTATAAGTAGTCTATGCAATGTCAAAACAGTAAACTCACTGCCTCAAAAGTGAAAGCAAATCCAAAACCATGAGGCACAAAGCGGTAGTTCACTTGTGCGCAGACAAACAGAGACCTGCAGAGAGGGAGACAGCTGAGGTTTTCAGTGACAGTAGAAAAAACGCACGGCTCAATGCGGCACCGGTCCACTGCTGCTAGCGCTGCTTTTATTGAGTCTGGCGTCACTCAGTCTGCAGACTCAGATAGGCTAATTACCTAATGCTTTATCGCCAGGACACCCCTTCCCAAAAAAGTAAACACGCCAGTTTCCTCTTACTACTGCCACAGTGAGCGCTCACGCCTCCACGAGACTTGGACAGACGCCAAATGTCTAACGCACCTTGACGGCACGAGGTTGGTGCAAGTCAAAACGTCAGAAGTGGATAAAGGCTAAGTGTGTAAGTAATTACACAAATTTATACTAATAGGTACCTAGTAGTTAATATAGAAACAATAAACGAAAAGTGGTATACGCTTAAGGTTTACGTAATGTACACAATAAGTAGCCTAACTAGCCTAAACCGGAATATAAGACTACTACTAATTAAAAAGTTAAGAAGTAAACTAAAACATGACTCCAAGTTTTAATAGCCTAATGTTTCTAAAGTGTTTTAGAAATTGTCCTCTCACCTGCGCTGATGCTGACAAGTGCGCGCAGACGGCGGGTCCAGCTGCAGGTCAGAGCGGCTCCTCGCGTACCGCCACACGCAGGAGGTGTGTGTCCACGGACCGCGAGGGACTGTTGATGTTTCAGTCTGAAGTCAAATGAGCGGCAAAACAGGCTGCGAGCGGATATGCCTTTCACAATAAAGATACCCACTTTACCGTAAGGCCTATTTAAGCGGTGTAGGTTGATAATAAGCGACTTGCAGATAGTTAGTCAGTCACTATCACAGTTAAATTCAGAATCAGATCACATTCCTACCAGGGTTTGTTTTAATCCCATGTTATTCTTTTGAAACTCACTTGTAAGCTCTTCCTCAGTTATGTGCGTACAAGTTCTTTTGACGCAGGGTTGAGCTCTCGGAGCCGAGCCTCCACTCCTCCTTCAGCCGAGCGCCACACAGCCTCCGCGGCGTCAGCCTGGCTGGAACCGCAGCGCCTGCCGTGGATCCCTCCGCCTCCCCCTCCAGGAGCTTTCACGGGATTTCAGGGATTTTACATTGAACGTGAATGTGCGCGCGAGCGTGAACGCGCGCCACCTGAGCCATGCTCAATTAGACTGAAGTGGCTTTAGGGCAGAGAAAACAATCACACCTGTTCTGTCCACACAGGCCAATAGGCTAGAACTATGGAGCGGAACTGGCAACTGCCAACTATGCAAGGAGAGATGGACAAAAAGTGTCTCCTGTGCCGTCTCCTGATAGTTTTTAAGAGTATTTGCACATTTAAAGAATCACCTCATCTCTCTTTTCCCCCCAAGTATCTATATCTGTCTATGAGGCATTCTCAAAGAAAAGTGTACATAATAGGCTAATTGAATCATCTGCTTAATCTATTACGAATTATGATTTTCATTGATAAATTTTTTGCTTAATGTCTTTATAGATTAGACACGGGCACTGGAAGTAATCAGGGCTGCGCTCTTGGGGTTAGAAAGACTCGGAACTCTAACATTCTAACTCTTCATTTATGTGTCAATCAAAAATACAATCTCAGATCAATCTCTGCGCATTAAGCCTGACAGGCCGCCACAATGCCCCAGGAGCCACAGAAGTGTGTCACTGCGGATGGATACGCGCCTTTATTGGGAGTGCCGTGACTGGTCCAGTTAATGACGCAACCGTCTGGCGACAGTGAGTCTACAAGTTTGACATTTTCACAGTTTACAGCAACTGCTGCGGATCGTAACAATACTCCAGCTCAAAGTAGGTGCACCCAGGGGATCTGGGCAAAACATACGATTTTTCCGATCACCAGGTGCTGCACCCATATGCATCATTGGATGGCCTTCTGATGTGTCACAGAAGGGTCCGGCCCTTAGCCCCGCTGGCCCCGGGTACTGTCCTCAAGGGCGCGCGCGCACGGGCTTCTGGGCATCAGCCCCTTGGGTCATCTACACATGAGCCAACGAGTCAAGTTCAAGACCCACGGGTTAAACCCTATACTGTGTTAATGCTTTAGCCTATGTTTAGTGCTGGGCAATTTGTTGAACTGTCAAATGCTGCGCTACATTTTCCCATGTTACCTGTGTACAAGAGTACAGTAGCATCGGCCTCGTGGAGACAGAGTGGAATTCAATTCCATTTATAACAAACTCAACCACGTTCCTGTGGACAGTGTCCTCTGTCCGCGCGTAGACAGGCGCAGAGCGGACACAAACAGGATGCGCCCCGCGGGGCTCTGGGGCCCGAGAGACATCCGCATCATCTGACCTCAGACTTACACAAGAGCACAGTCTTATAGAGGGATCTTCAACTACCCCAACCACAAAAAAGCAAAACAATGTCCACATTAGATTTAGATCAAAACGTACTTTACACTCTTCACTGGAACAATCCAAACGTCTGAAATAATCGCTAGATCGGATTTATATTATTTTAAGAAATAAACAAGTAAAACCAGTTTTAACAACAAATTAACACAAGTCCTGGAAATGTGGACAAATATACAGGATATACTCTATTATGACTTATATTTACTATCGCTTTACATAATAACGACATACACTTGTAATGCACTTTATGCCACTACTGTAGCCGCAACTGCCCAGGGGTAGACTGACGGACCCCCCCCCCACCACACCACACACACACACACACACACACACACACACACAAACCATTTTCATAATAGGCAATGTGAGCCAACAAGGACTATCATATTTTAACTTTTAATCACGGTTTCAGTCCTTCACTTTACCACAGTTCTCAGCTACATTCCCCAACAGCAACAATAACATCTGATGCCCCTACCAGGGGCTTGATTCATCTTATCCCTCACATTTCATTACCAAGACACCCAAAACAACTTGATTGGCCAAAAATATACAGTAAGTAACTCAGTCAGTGCTGTAAACAGCAGTGTGCGTGTAACGGTGACCATCACAAGCCAGCATTTGTACACCATGAGAATCCTACAACTGTGGTAAGAATGCACATCTTACAATTTTATGAATAAGACATGTTCTTGCTTGTTGATTGACGTTGACAAGACATAGTTGTTGACTCCCTTCTTAAGGCTTATCGGCCATTATAAAAGGCCCCTCACAGGTTTGTGGAATTGTTTATGGCTAATCAGTCTTTAGTGCTGGCTGCAGTTTCCATGCACCTGTGATGTAGCGCAGTCGAATGAAAACTAGGTCTCTCCCCATCTGCAGCCAACTCCAAAACGGGACCAGTTTGGATCCTGGGAATATATAAAACAACATAATTAAAAATATAAAGATTATAGACAAGCAACCCAATAGTTTTAGTCAGACTTGACAATCACAGTCTAGCTAACAGCCTCTATGTCCAGCACTAATCCCACACATACATCTTAAATATGTCGGCAAGGGGGATAAAGACCATAGAGCATAGACCATGTTTATATCTCATATATATACTGTTTATGGTACTAGTGTTTTGATAAGGGCACAAGAGCAGTGCTAAGTAAGTTGAAGTTGGAATCAAACTGCTAATATTCGAGTTATAAGAGCACAACCTGAACTCTGTTCAGTTAAATCATATTTGAATTACTAGTTAATAGTGACACTATGACAAATCATTTAAGTAAAATCCAGTTTTTTCTTTTAAGTATTCCAAAGATTATGCAATTGCAGTCTTACCTTCTATTTCAGTCCAATTTACAGCTACTTCTGCAATGGGAATCTTAAAACACTGAGCTATGTATAAAAGCTCAACATCAAAAGCCCTAGAAAAACATAATGCTTAGGTAAGGGTTAAGTTTGTACAATCCATTTAGCAGCATTAGATATATATTTATTTTTAAAATGCAACCTACCATCGCTCAACATGAAGACAAGAAAATGTCTTGAGTGCAGCTTCTCGAGTGAAAAGCTTGAATCCACACTGTGTGTCCCTGATGCCTCTCACACAGAAGAACCAAACCAGGAAGTGAAAGCCGAACATCAAAAATGTTCGAAACAGAGAGCGCTAAGGGAACAACAATACAAGCATTAGTGATTAGCAGATTCAATACACAAAACCTTAATATCATATTTCATATATAAATGGATATTTACCTGAGCTACAGATTCTTTCTCCAGGTGAGCCCGAGAACCACAGGATATGGCCATATTGTCCTTGACAACGGCAATAGAAAATAGACAATTATCTTTATGAAATTGTATATTAAATCAAAATACGAATTATATTATAGCTCACTGGTTTTGGTTTAATCTCATTCAGTGCAGTTTCCACTTTCTCAATGTCACAGAACTTTGTGGCTCCATCAGCGTCTGCCATCAGGATGAGTCTGCCTCTGGAGCTCAGGGTTCCCTTTAGGCACATAACACAGACACATAATAATATAGTTCAGATACAATCAGAAATAAAACACACATAAGGCTGTAGCTGTGGGATCTACCATTCGCACAGCTCCTCCTTTGCCCCTGTTCTTCACCAGAGTCAACACACGCACTTTGTCTGCACCATACTTCCTTGTGTACTGCATTGCAACCTGAAAGTAAAAGGTAGACTTTTCAATATGACAATAATCAAATAAACCAAATTAATGTAATAGCTTAAATTCATACCTGTGTGGTTTTATCTTTGCTGCCATCATCAACCACAATAACCTCATAGGTAAAAGAAGGGGTCTTTTTCTGATGGTGACAAAAGAAATTAAGTGAACTAGTGCCATCTACTGGCAATACAGAGAACCATACTAATTATTCGGCATCATTTGCTCTGTAGACCAATTAAAAAACTGACAATAAATAGGAGCAATGACATCTTATCCTATACTCCATACATAAAACAAACATTAAACAAGAAGTTGCTGCCAATTACTAAGATTGTAAAAAATGAACTGTAACTATGATAAGTATGGTAAGATGTTGGCTCCATACAAATTGATGCCATATTATAGTGAAGCACATTGACAAACAAAATAGTTTTTCATCAAAAACACCAAATGTACATATCTTCTAAAGTCATTTTGATACAAGTCTATTGCCCGGATAAATATTCAATTACCACATTTGTTGATTATTATTACTATAATCAATTGTGATTAATCAACTGTTTCAGTCCTACATTTCAAAAGAAATGTTTTATAATAATATGTCTATTGCTTAAAGTACCATATGATGCAATGTACTTGTGTGAGCTATAAGCCATGTTATAATGTTACCACCTCAAAAGCACACCTAGAGTTGTTTTCATTCAAACATATTTGGTAGTCCTTTATTATTAGTCTGTCTATGTCTTCAAAGCTCAAAATGCTCTGTTCCACCTTGAAATGTCATGAAGCAGTAGTTTTCCAGTTAACCGCTTACATTTACCTCAGTTGAGATGGACAATTCCAGGGTTGAAATCATCCAAATTAATCTAGTAAAGGTGTATGGAGTTTAAAAACACAACGGAGAACTTCTTGTATTAAAACATGGCATAACAAGGTGGAACGATTTTTTTCTGTTTGAGAGAAGAACTCAGCCTAAATATGCAGGGTTGTGTGCTAAACATGTGTGAATGAAACAAAACACAAGAAGAAGAAAACAACATTATAGAAGAAACAACATTATAACAGATGAGAAAAAACATAATATAGGCCCTTTAATATGAAAATTATGTTACATCATAAATAATAAGTAATAAACAAGTAAAAATAAGAAGGCACCTGTCTTTCCTCCAAGTAATCCATGGCTTCTTCCATCATCACAGGTACTAAAACAGACACAGGAAAAACAAGCTTCAGTATATTCATTGAATTCAGTATATCTAAGAGAAAGCAATGAAACCTGAATAACTTGAACCTCAAAGCAGAAAAACAACAAAAGTTCACAGAGAACTGTTCTCTACTCTTCAAATTCTGTATGCTGATAATGTTAGCATAGTTTAAATCAGTGCAAAATGGTGCAAATACTACACCGCTATAAATACTTACATCTCAGCTCCTCATTGTAAGCTGGTACTACTACAGATAGTTCAATGGAGAAAGGATCGTGGAGACTTGGAAAGCTCTGTTTCTCCCCTGTGGCACCCAGGAAGTATTTCTCTTTCTCGTGGCGTGTCATGTTCACTTTTCCAGCAGTTATATGGGCTACCAGTAACACCTGAAAATATAGTGGAAAAAGAGAATAATGAGCAGGTGGAATCCATTGTTTCTGAGGCACACTGCACAGTAAAATATATAGACATTCTTTAATTTATACAGTTAAAATTGTATAAAATCATGTCAATTGTATGTACATAAGCAACGTAAACGGGGGGGGGAACTACATCAGCCCAAGTTCCAACTCATCATCTCCATCTCAGCAGCCTCAATAGCAATGCAAAGAAACACACCTAACCCCAACACCTAACCTCAAACACACCTAAGCCCAAATAACACAACATTACGGTACATTTTGCACTTACCACAGCTAAGGCCAGAACAGCCAGTGCAACAAGACCTTGCACAATTTCACAAAGACAGTCCATTTTCCACAAACCCTCACAGCCACTGACAGCTCAGGTCAAAGTGGCACCAAACCAGTCTCTAGACCCCGCAATGCGCGCTTCGTGGTCAATATGTTAAAGTCCAAATTAAAGACAGCATAGATCTTTCCAAAATTCAAATAATGAAAATGAAAATCCTTGTATTCTCATTAGAAAGACACTAATTAGACTCCAGTCACAACTGAACACAGCAGAGACGCGGAAGTGCAGTTTGTAGACACATCATCAGTATGTACTTGGAGGCGCACGGACAAAACCCACACTGCCACCTAAAGGACAGGAGTTTTATGTTAGTTTGTTTGCTCAGGTAAATATTTAAGTATTTTTCTATAATAATATATAAATGAAACTAGTCACAAGTTATTGATAGGGGACATTATTTTACCAAGGAGAAAAATAGTGCTGTTAAAAATACAATGCAAAGAAATTATCATTACAAATAAAAGCGACAAACATTAAGGAATATAGCCTTATAACAAAAGAAAGAAAGAAACTCAAGACCTAGCAATTAGTTAACTTAACATTTAAAATTTTGCATTGAGTTTACAAATAATGCTTTTCGGCTTCCGTAGTATAAGCGCACATTCACGTGTTCAATCAAAACATCATGGCGGCTGGATTCAAGTAAGATGTCACAAAAAGCACATTTTTTATTTTAAATACACATTTGATCTCTGTAAAAAATATGCGTAAAAATCAACGTCATCTTGTACTTGTCAACAATTGAGCTGTAACTAATGGCAAAGATTGCACTGCAAAGCCCTAGTTTGAGTGTGCATCGTTGTGGCTAAGGTTCCATCTTCCTTACACTAGTAATTAAAAAAAAAAAAAAAACCCGCATAGGCTATACATAGGTATCTACTCAATAAAACCTAAGGTAACAGTCTTATCTTTATTTGTGTTTGTAGAACTGCAGAACCGCTCGAGTATCACAGGAGCTTTTTGGTAAGAAAACCAGTATCAGGTCAATAACGTAATGTGAAAGAAAATTACTTAAAATTATTTAACCTTTTCTATTTATAACAGAAAGAACACTGTCGGTCTGATGGACGTGAGCTGACAGAGTTCAGAGCCACTACATTGAACATAGGTGAGGCTCTAAGATGGTTTACTTCATGGGTATTATACAATTCTGAAATACAATGCAAAGTATGTTCACTTGGGTCAATATTTTCCCCAGGGTCTATATCCACAGCAGATGGCTCTGCTCTGGTGAAACTCGGAAACACCACTGTCATCTGTGGCATCAAAGCGGTACAAAATGATACAATATTGCATTTCAGTGTAGTGATACATGTAAAATAAATACATGTCTGTTGATTTTCTTGGAAGGAACTATCAAACCCCACAGTTGAGGCGCCAGGTAAAGGTTATATGGGTAAGTTGAACATTAAATATATGGGTACATTTGATAAACATCTTATAACAATGTCATCTTCTGTTTTTAGTGCCAAATGTGGACTTACCTCCTCTGTGCTCCTCTCGGTTTCGTCCAGGGCCTCCAGGAGAGCAAGCTCAGGCTGCCAGTCAGTTTATTGCAGATGTAATTGAAAGGTTAAGTATGCAAGCACAGTACAATGTCATTATGTATTAATATTCTTGTTCTGATAAACCCACTATGTCTTACAGTTCTGAAATAATAAAAACAGAAGACTTGTGCATTGAAAGGGGAAAGGTACTGTAATTTACTTGTCTCTAAGTATTTAAAGTCCATTATTAAAATGACTGAAATCTGATGTTACTGTGTGCTGGGTGCTCTATTGTGACTTGATGTGTCTTGACCATGACGGAAATGTCCTTGATGCCTGTATAATTGCGCTCTTGGCAGCTTTAAAAAACGGTACGTGATTTTCTTTTCAAACAATAGATGTTTCTAGGCCGTGTCTTGTTATTGTTATCGGGCTAAAGTCTTTTCTAACTATGGTTTCTCTGTGTTTCACAGCACAACTACCAGAAGTCACCATTAGCCCTGACACTTGTTTGCCTGAAGTCAATTTTGATAAAAAACATGAAATGCAGATTCACAGACATCCAGTGGGCTCGTCTTTTGGGGTGTTTGACAAGTAGGTTTGGTTTCTGCAAGTCTTGTGTCACAGTAGTGATGGGTCTAATTGTGAACTATTCCCACACTACAAACAGATCTATCGTGATTGTGGATCCAACTGCAGAGGAGGAAAGCCTATTGACAGCACAGCTCACTGTAGTGACAGATGAGGAGGAGCGTCTCTGTTCAATGCACAAACCAGGTGAGAGACGTGTGGTTTACTTATTAAATGTTTTATTGAACTGATATTTAAATATATGAAATTACTTTATATCATAATATATTTGGCAATTTCTCTTCCTATTCTTAAAGTTGTACCAGTTTAGGGTATTTGGGAGTTATACTGAAAACAAATTGTATTATGATTAAAATGTACGGGTTCCTTTGGTGCAGGCGGTTCATCATTATCAGGAGAGAAGCTGCAGGAGTGCATAAACCGTGCAGTGGTTCGACAGAGAGAAATACAGAAGCTCATTGATAAAGTCCTACAGAGTGTGAAGACACCACAATGAAGAGTCTCAGACAAAAGACGTTTTATCTAAAAGCTGTATTTTCCACTGTCAATATATATTCTTTTTTAATAACAATAAAACTGCTGACAAAGACTGCTTAAAAAATTATTTCTCAGTGTCCAGAAATGCCTCACACACACGCTCAGTTGATATCTCATAAGAATTACTCATGGCTCCTGATCTATGTAAAAGGAAATGTCTTTTCAAAATGTGCTGTACAAAAGCAGTGAACACCATCTTGCATGTTGATCTCAGTCCTTTGTTGAGCCAGGTTTCCCAACAGGAAAGACTTCCAACACACTGAGAGGTAGAGGGCTGCCCCAGGCACTACTCCGAAGTTTGATTTGCATTTCACTTTGTAACAGTTCAGTGGAGGATTTGGTGTCAAACGCTCAGCTGGGATCCGTGCTTAAAGGGCAGTTTCTACCAGGGTCGACCGAGCAGAGGGCTATGCAGCAGATCCTCTCACTCCACATACCTCCAGAGAAGTCTTCTGAAGGATAATACATTATTGTGGAAGCTTGCTACCTACAAGAACCCTCTTTTCAAAAATATTACTAAGGTTCCTCCAGCATAGTGCTTTCCATTCTAAAAACCCATTTGGTTCTCCAAAACCACATACAACCATTACAAATCACATTTGTCAGCTATAAAAGACAAACAAATCGACAAATCAGTGTTTTTGCCTGCAGTCTCCAAAGTGGGGCAGACAAGAGCACAGTATGGATCATTTGTGTCCGTTAGGTGCAGGATGTGGGCCTGTCATGTCTTGGGCAGGGGTTGCGGCGTGCTCCTCTTCCTCTTACTTCTTGGTTGACTGGCGGTATGTTGCCGTGGCGCTCCCCCCGCTGGAGCTGCTGCCCCCAAAGCCATTTGCTGCTGCTGCTGCATTTGGTGCTGCAAGAATTGCAACTGTAGTGCAAAAAAAAAAGAGAAATACATCAATATCAGGACTAAATGATTTAGAGCAAACACAGACTGGTCTAGCTGCAGACTGGCAGACTAGCACTAAGCTAACAGAGTTTTTTTTTATGTGGCAGTGTTAGTAAGCTTTGTATGACATACAACAGAAACAAAGGGTTTTAATGGTGGCAGGAGCAGGACAGGAGAGGAACAGACGGGGCACGTTGGGTTGTGTTGGAGTGAGGCAGGTACGATGAGCAGCACCGGTGGCTTCTGGACACATTAAACAGTAATGCGCGTGACGCTGTGGTCTTAACAATAACATACATGCAGCTCAGCAAACGTGCTTCTCTGCTCATAGTAAGTCAGCAACTTCAACTGGCCAAAACATATTTCTGTTCATGCTTACAGTGTAACAACATATGCTATGACTTGTAAAGCCAACTACCTAATGGCAAATACACTTGTGCCATTTGGACATACTGTTAGTTAATGCCATGGGAAGTGCCGCAAGCTCCAGTGGGCTGCCATATTTGTCAGAAAACATTTACAACAAACAACACAAGATGAAGTGAATGGTGTGGAGAGTATCAACAACATATGATACAAATTCAAAAAGACATGAAATACTGCAGTGCACTCAAATGAACACAATGGATAATAACAGTTGTGTTTCATATTTCTGAAAACCCATAAATGTAAATAGTCACATTTTCATAGCCAAACTGATTGATTTGTTCATAATAAAAAAAATGTATAAAACTGTTTATATGAATGTGTAAAATGAATGTAATGAGACTAGTCTATGTAAGTGTATAAAGTTGTTAAAGTTGCTGTATTACTTGGATCTGTGGCTGGTGCTGCTGCTGAAGCCTTGGAGAAGGCAGCGGGGGCCCAGACCCGTCCAGCCCACAGCCCAACTGGGACAGCACTAAGGAGGGAGGAGGGAGGAGGCAGAGGGATGCCCCATGGAGGTAGGCGGAGGAGGCAGAGAGGCAAGAGTGAAAAGATGGAAATGTGAACAGGCCAAAAGGAGAAGGCATGGTTTGATAACAGATGTTTTTGGTTAGGTAAAGCATATCAGCACAGAAAATATAGTTAAGATTCAAGGGTTAACATAACATTTGAAAGGTAAAAGATTTTGCATGGGTTTTGAATGGAATTGGTAGGATTTATAGCATAATGCAAGGTTTATGTACAAGAGTACAGTATGAACAGGGCAGTGGGAAGAAAGAGGAAGCAAGATCAGATAGATCAGATAGGGGCAAAAATAAGGAGTAGCAGAAAAAGAGGGAAAATTCAGTGTTTCTTGATTGTGGTGAAATACTTGATTATGTGGAAAACACAGTACAATCATAGTTAAAATCATTAGACCTTGTCTTGTCAGGGCTTGATACAGATATCCATTAACATATTCATTGAATATTTGAACAGATACACCCTCAAAATGTTTCTTGTAAAGGCTCATATCAAAAACATTTGTAAAAAATAATGAATTAATTCATTAATTACATGTGTCTGATTAATGATTTCTAAAAAGCGACTGGTTGAAAATAAATGGAGACAGTTGGGGTTAGGAGTGTGGTCACACTGTCCTACCTGCAGCTGAAGGAGACATGAAGCTTCCAAGATTGATGACTGCCGTTTGCTGGTTTCCTAAACTCTGATCTGCCCCTTGGTTGTCCTGAAAAGGAAATCACCCGTTTTAAGTTAAAGGGCCTGTACCTAACTTTGAACCATGAGCCAGAAACATGTTTAGGTTTCAACTGT